TATATATATATATATATATATAGATTATTTATAACCAATAGAAAGCCAGTTTTAACCTATCAAATAAAATATTATATTACATTGTTTCCTATACAGGATATTGTCTATTTCACCTACAGTTTGAAAATTTTGCTAATGATATTCAAATCCACAGTTTTAGCTAAATTTTTTAAGAGCTCTTATCACATAGTTATAAAGCCAGATAAATTACAATAGTTACAGGACAATGTTTGCTTTGTGCATGTTATTATTTTGGTCCTTATGTGCATTATTTAATTAAATAAAAATTATTTAGTGTACTAGTACCATTAGTATAAAAAAAAAAGTAGGCTTCACTTTCATCAACAGCAAAAACAAACTGGACATCACCTAGTATTATATTTCTTGTTTTTTCACGCAAGTTATTTATTATTATAAAAGTAACTAAAATGCAAAAATTTGAAACAGATTAGATTAGGTAAGATAATGAAAAATAATTCCTTAGGGGTATGCTCATAAGCAGTTCATGCATTAAATTATTCAATACAGCAACTTGAGCTACATGTTCGCCTAGTAATTTACAACTTGTGTGGAGGGATAGTTAGTTATACACAGATCAAAGGGCAATACAACAAAATTTAAGTATAAACAGATAAATACTGTTACGAGCTTTAAACTATTTAGGATAAATAACTGTAGTTTCCTGTTACAATTTGCAGTGATTCTACAAAGAAAAAGGGTAATTTATATTTCTTTTGTACTTTTTTTATGGTGTTCACAAGGTCAGTGAAGTTGATCAATTGTGTGTAGAGTTAACGTAGAGAAAAAAACAGAAAACAAAATTGATATTTATTTAGGATGTTTTAAAAATTATACAAATGAAATTTAACAATTTTCAGATGAAGTATTTTTAATTTTAACATGAAAATCACTTTGCACTCAACCACCATCTCCATGTATTCACTGACAAATTTTTAGTAAAAATATTAGTTAAAAAATTCTGATTTTATTGTACAAAAGACTTCTGATGTTTACTGAAAGCTTGCCAAATTTTGTGAAGATACACATAACATATTAGAAGTTATAGTATGGAAACTGATGATAACTTTGGAGTTACAAACTCAGCTGAATCGACCAAGCCTGTAGTTAAAGGGTTAAATTCTCAATCGTCAGTTCTCAGTATCAGGTAGCACTTTTGCATTGAACTGCACAATTCAGATATTCTTTTCACCCCCTATTTGAGCTTCTAAGTTTTTATTATAATTACAAACATATAGTACAGATATTGCTAAGACAATCTAATTTTACAGCATCCAATCATCTTGATTTACAGATGTAAACCAGAAACTCAAACCCATGTCACACCCTCCTATCACGTACTTTTAAAAAATGTCAATAATCCTCTTTCATAATTGCAAAACATTATTTTCACTAAGAGAAAGAGAAGATTTTAATTTACTGAATTACGTAATAGATTAATTCATTCTCACAACAGCTACTGAATTATTTGGCCTAAAGATTCAAAGTTGCTATCACCAAGTTCATCTCAACCAAGTAAGGAAAATATTTTAATGCACTTATAGCTCAGTTAGAAAGCCTGCTTAATTATAATAGCTATAGGTCATTGTATTCTTTCTGCATGTTATTATTTTGTATTCTTAACTGAATATTTGATATGAATGAAAATTTAGTAAAGCACTAAAAATAACTATACCAAAAGTTAGAATTAACTTATATCAAGCACTAAGTGTCTTGTTTTTTGTTATATATATGTTTTATTTATTGTTAAAAAAGTTAAGATGTAAAAATTAGATGTTTCTTTGTTGTTAAGCACAAAGCTGCACAATAGGCTATTTGTACTGTGCCCACCATGGGTATTGGGACCCAGTTTTTAGCACCGTAAGTCTGCAGACTTATTGCTCAACCACTGGAGGGGAGGCATAAAAATAAGAAACTTATTAGGTTAGATACAAATATATAAATGAAGTGAAAAAATTAAATACATTTTTCAGCAAGGTTTGAAAGGAAGCTGCAAATATTTATTACATAATTCAGTATCTTGTCTTACCTTGACCTATGCACTCACTTAGTATATACAGCTTTGTTACCCATGTTTAGTCGTTATACACAATTCAAAGGACAATAAAATTAAATAAAAACAGATGTAAACTGTTCCCAGCTTGAGGCTCTTTAGGATAAATAATTGTAATTTTTCTGTTACAATCTGCAGTCATTACATGCACACACAAAAGGTAATTTAGACTTATTTCACATTCTTTGGTGGTGGTTAAAAGTCGGTCACATGGATGAGGCTATATGGTGTTAAGGCAGAGAAAACGACAGAAAAAATACAAAGTTTTATTGAAAAAATTTTTTGATATTCATTTAGGAGGTTTGTGAGGTTATGCAAATGAAATTTGAAAACTGTAAGATGAAAGAAAATTTTCATTCTTAACACAAAAATAACCTTGTACTCAAGAAGCCATAGTCTGACTTGGACTATGACTTGTTAAATTCACAGACAAATATTTAGTAAAATTATGTAATTAAAAGTATGTTTTGTGAAGATACACTCGTTACAATAAGTTATTTTATGGTTACATGGTGGTCACAAAGTTGGTCAAAATGACCAAGTCCATGTAAAAGGTTAATTACCTGCTGTACTATTATGATACAAGGACAGTATCCACAACTAGAAAGCATGTTCCTTTAATATTACAGTATATACCACAAGTCAGTTTTAGAATAAATAAATCAACTGGATTTGACAGTTTAACTTATAACAAAGGGTTGGTCTAATTCTAAGGCCTTTCTGAGGCTAAATTAACTTGTTTATTCAAGCAAAGTACTAAATTCTCATGAAAGTAACATACCTCGTCTATCTCTACATTGCCAGTTTTCATGTATTGCAGGTTGTACTGAAGTTGCTGGTGATCCTAAAAAAAAGGAGAAAATTATAAGCTCTAAGCCAGATGGTGTTCAAACAATTGGGGATTACAGTTCATATCTAAAATAAATTATAAGCTCTGAACCAGATGGTGTTTAAACAAATGGGGTTCAAACAATTAGGGTTCACAGTTCATATCTAAAAGAAATTATAAGCTCTGAGCCAGATGGTGTTCAAACAATTGGAGTTCACAGTTCATATCTAAAAGAAAGTATAAGCTCTGAACCAGATGGTGTTCAAACAATTGGGGTTTACAGTTCATATCTGAAAGAAAGTATAAGCTCTGAACCAGATGGTGTTCAAACAATTGGGGTTCACAGTTCATATCTGAAAGAAATTATAAGCTCTGAGCCAGATGGTGTTCAAACAATTGGGGTTTACAGTTCATATCTAAATATATATATATAAGCTCTGAACCAGATGGTGTTCAAACATTGTAAGTAGATATATAACTCTTGTGAAAGTTCTTTACAAAATGAAACTAGTGGATAAAATTATTTTACATTTGAGATGAAAGGTCCTATAAGTATGTAGTTTTTGAAAAATAAGATATTTAATTTTGATTTTTTCTAAAGCAATGTTTTTCTCATGCCTTTGTTTCTTTTCTCATGTTGCCTATCCAGCATACAAAGTAATTTTCATTTTAAGATAAAAATACTTTTATGCATCAGAAAATTTCACATACGAAATCCTTATAATGTCCAGATAGTTATCAAACATTTCTTAAAAAAAAAACTATATTTTATCTGTTATTTTCACTAACAAATATATGCATGGGTTTGGTTGATATGACATAACTAACTTTAAAATTTATAAATTTTACATGGTGTAAGAGGAAGAAAAGACTCAACAGATGGAGAAACATCAATCATATTTCATCATGTGGTTCAAGATATAAAACTGCAGTAAATTTTAAAATTACTTATCTTAAATTGAAACTTATGTTTAAAAAATATAACAGATAAATCTTAACAGATAAAATAATTTGATAATTAGAATGAGAAACCTCCATATGGTGGCAAATAAATGAATCTAAAAATTTGAAATTGCTAAATCCTTTCGTTTAGATGTTTTCCCTTAGTGAGAGTAAAATTACCCATTAATTTTTATACGAGATAAAGACATTTACTATAAAGAAATTATAAAACTTGAAAATATTAGATGGATTAAGTTTTTCTGAAATTCACCATTGGCATGAAGAACAGCATCCAAGGCCTTCTCAACATTCAAATTTTGTTGGAGAGCTACAGTTCTCAATGTTGACTCGGGAACCGTTTCTCCCACCACACACTGCACTCGATCCACACTGCTGTTAAATAGTTCTGTTGAAAATGTCAAAATACATAACTTTGTGTAAAATTCACAGATTCACAATCAATAGATCAGTTTGAATAACAATTTGAGAAGAAATATGGCTTTTATTCAAAAATTTTTATATGTTACAACAAAAAAATTTATTTTTCATCCAGTTTTTTCAGGCATTCTAATGGTCACATCATAACATTTATCAGCTCTTTCAGCACGTGCTCAGTCCCTGGGACCGACCTCATAACCATTTTGTGCTTCTTATAGTTTTCATGCTATAACTTTTTAATTAGTAAGCAAATGTCCACAAATTTGGCAGATTATCAGAAAACATTACAAGACTTTGATACGCAAAATCAACTGAAATATGCAAAATTTTTATTAAGTCTTAAGATTTGTTAAGCAATGTTTTTCTCATGCCTTTTACTTTCTGCATGTTGCCTATCCAACATGCAA